ATCCAAAGCTTGGCCTTGCAAACGCCGCGCRAAAACATGTGTAAACGCGATCCGASTCGCGCCCTTACACKCATTCCCGTGCGACGATTCGCCCACCCAAGAGGGATTCGCTGCGGAACCATCATCCAGCACGAGCACGCCGAGGCACCATTGAGTGCCTGCCCTGCACGTGCTCGCGCGCGGTGATGATATCCCGACCCGAGTTATCCCATCGATGATGATACCATGACGCGATCTTGGAGCTCAGACTCATCCTACGACCTGGACTATTTCACCCCGTGGATAAACGAGCTCATAAGGACGCGATACCCCTGTCACACGGAAAATCAACTATGTCCGCGGGAATTCCACTGCGCCACCTCTAGCGACCCTCAGTGCTCTGATTTCCCTTCCCCCGACCACACCTACTACTTCACCCACCTGGGATTTGTTGTCATCACCACCAGTTTCCCTCCTTTCCGCCTTCTCCTCCCGTATCATCAGCTCAGTGTCGTTCCGTGGCCGGCCATAGCCCCCTATTGGCCCAGTACGTTTTGCGTTAACTGCCAACGTAGCGGAGAACAGAGAACTCCGGAATTCCGAAGGCCCAACCCAGGTACGCGGCGGCCTGCACCACGTGGCGGTCCCCGACGGCCTAACTTTTCAGGACCACCTCCACCGCGGAGGGATTTCCCCGTAAATCGTCGCCCACAGTGCCCCGGCCCCTCTGGGCCGTAAGACCCTTGTGCGAGCGCCCCTCATTCCCCTAATTGCATTCATACCCCTAAGACTCCCCCACTTTCCCAAAAATCCATGGCACACCCCTTTTCGCACTTCCAGGCCCACATCCTACTCCGATCAGGAAGTCGCGCCGGGCGTGAGGTTGGGCGTCACATAGTGTGGCGTCGAAGATGTAACACTATGTATGCTCCGTGTATCAAGATGTACAGACAGCACTGCGTGTGGAAACTTGTGTATGTAGCCCGTAGGCCATGTATAATTCGCAAGCTATGTATATGCCCGAAGGCTATGTGTGCTCTGTGAATCAATGTATCGAGATGTATAGGCAACATCATGTGTGTATATCAAAGAGAGAACGGGGTAAGTTGGACAATATCCTGCCTCTACTTTCCACTCAGTTAACCCTTATCCTTCCCTCTCCAGCAGGCCCTTCCACTCGGAATAGCACCTTCGGACATCACTCCCCCTTTGGCTTAGTCCACTCTCCCTTCTCCACTGTCCTCTTTCTTCGCTGGTCTACCCACTATGATGGGATCACCTCCTGTACCTCCCTCAATCTTTTCTCCCTCCAGAACTGCCACGGAAGTTGTTCCACCATTTCCGGTTCCCGTCTTTCAGTCCCTCTTCTGAGGATCCCACAGGTGGCCAACCTTGTACATACCACAGGCCGCCCATTGACACCCGAACGCTCCTCTCCCACCCTGCCACTTAAACTCCTCCCCCCTCTTATTACAGATGAATCCATTGCCAAACAGGACAACAGCAACAACCACAACAACAACCAGAACCACAACCACCTGGGCGCCATAGTCGTGCTCCACGCTGTCGACCTGCACAACAACAACAACAACAACAGCAACAACCACAACAACAACCAGAAAAAGAAGAAGAAGAAGAAGAAGAAGAAGAAGAAGAAGAAGAAGAAGAAGAACCATCTGGGTGCCATAGTCGTGTTCCACGCTGTCGAAGAAGAAGAAGAGGGGCAGAGGCCATACCTGCGTCAGCGGTACTTACCTGGGCGCCACTGCCGTGCTCCACACTATCGACGTGCACAACAACAACAACAACAACAGCAACAACCACAACCACAACCAGAACCACAACCACCTAGGCGCCATAGCCGTGCTCCACGCTGTCTACCTGCACAACAACAACAACAACAACAACCACCAGAAGAAGAAGACGAAGACGAGGGAGAAGAAGAAGAAGAAGAAGAAGAAGAAGAAGAAGAAGTACATTTTTTTTAAAATTTGAATGAATCATACATTTTTAAAAATATTTTTTTCTTCAATATTCTTTATTTTAAATAGATATATTTTTCATTATGAATCAATTGCCTTCGTTAAGTATTATTGTATTATTTTCCATCTTTGCAGGATTTGTTATTCCATTACTTCCTAGTAGGGAAGAAGAAGAAGAAGAAGAAGAAGAAGAAGAAGAAGAAGAAGAAGAGGGGCGGAGGCCATATGTGGCATACTGCGTAGCCACACGGGCCCTGCAGGGCCCGTCCCGGACATTCAGCCTAAAAGCGTAAAACTTAGGGCTTACAGGCCCCGGTCGTTTCAGCCTGAAAGCTGAAAAAACGAGGGTCTGCAGGCCCTACCCCGTTTCAGCCTATTTCTGGGTCTTTTCAGACCCAGAGTTTCCAGCCTGAAACGGAGGGCCATTTTCAGGCCCTCATTGTTTTGACCTGCCCCTAAGACTCAGGCACGCAAACAGGGATGCGGAACAGGTAAAGAATAGCCTGTTCCTCGAGTTTAAGTAGGAGCTGCAGCGGCAGCCCCTGCCTCAGATCGGCATTGGCAAGAGCAGCCTCGTGGACTGCTCGCCAGCAGTCAGGAGGCACCCCAGTAGTACATAGGACTGTCCTAGGCACTTCACGGGTAGGTAGTGATCAGTGTACACGAGTCGTCTTCAGGATTTCGGCCGCAGCACTTAGGAGGAGCGTTGCAGTAGTCTTCAGCGCTAGGCAGTAGTAGTAGCGCTAGCTGTAATCGTCGGCGCTGGGCGCTATGGTAGGTGGTAGATCGTAGAGTGGGAGAGATACTGGCGGAGGCCAGTGATACTTACCTGTGGCGCCATCGCGCCAACTCCATCTTCGTGGTACCTGCATCAAGGCGCCAACTTCACAGGTTAATACTGGACACAGAGAGAGAGAGAGTTCTTCTTCTTCCTCTTCTAAGTCCACCATCTCTTCTCCCCTCTCGCCACCTGACTTCTCAAACTACGACAGAGAGAGAAAGAGTTTGTGACTTGAGACTTGACGACATTGGATCCAGACTGGACATTGGGATTCAGACATTTCGACGAGGGACTATTTGGGCCTGTACCGAGACTTGGTGTTGATGACATTCCCATCTTCCCCTCCTCTTTCGTCTAACCCCTCCTTCCTCGTCTGTGTATGGTTGGGGCTGGCGCAGTCTTCTTGTGTGAAGCGCCAGACCCCCTTCACACCAGATAACGATGATGATGATGTGTGTTCAGAGCTGCATTGCAATATTGATTGTTCGGATCATTCGTATCTAAGTCTTCCGCTGTGTTATCTTGTACTTTGTATTGAAGAGGTCGGTTCTTGTTCTGGTCTGCACGTTACAGTATGCAACAGTTTGGTATCGGAGCGGACCTCTCATTCAGAGGACCCGCTCAATCAAGTAGCCAGCTTGCGATCTACTGATCACTCATTAGTAACGCAAGTAGGACTTAGTCAAATCTCTGAAAATTTTTTCTCGCAACAACTATCTGAAATTTCTGATATTCGCATTTCGTTTTACCTGAAAATTTCTGATATTAGTAGTTCGTTTTACGTAACAAATATCTGAAAATTTCTGATATTAGTAGTTCGTTTTACGTAACAAATATCTGAAAATTTCTGATAAATCGAATTTCGTTTTGTCTGAAAATTCCCGATAGTAGCATTTCGTTTATCTGATATTTCGCATACATAGCTGAAATTTCTGTAGTTAGTATTTTCGTTCTCTAGGCATATTGGGATAACGATAGAAGTGGTCATATTTTCGGAAACTGTAATTATTCTTTTCTGAAAATCGCATTTCCATTCTATCTCGCAAAATTTTTTTTTAAAACCGAATCTTGTGAAGCCTACAAATATTGCGTTAGGCATATTCGAAGGTTGCCATATTCTCAGAAACTGGATATCGTTCTTTTCTGAAAATCGCATCTTTGAAAATCGCATCTTTGAAAATCGCATCTTTACTCCATTTCGCAAATTTTTTTTTCAAGATCGCAGTTTGTAAAAGTCGAAACTTTGCGGAACCCAGCCTAGATCTCGTTCATAATACTCTTCTGACATATCCTACTCATCATAGATCGACAGATATATACAAAAAAAAAAGAAAAAAAAAGGAAGTAGTCCTCTTTTATTTTTTATTTTTTTATTTTATCTGTTGATTAGGGCCGGAGGAAAGTATTGTTGGGTTGGTCTCCTACCTGCGTTTTCCCTCCCCACCCTTTGCATGTTCCGAGTTGGTACAGTGCCACGTCAGACACAGTGCCACGTCAGACACAGTGCCACGTCAGCTACAGTGACACGTCAGCAGGACACGTCCACAGTGACACGTCAGCTACAGTGACATGTCAGCAGTGCCACGTCAGACACAGTGACACGTCAGCTACAGTGACACGTCTGCAGGCCACGTCCACAGTGACACGTCAGCTACAATGACACGTTAGCAGTGCCACGTCAGACACAGTGACACATCAGACACAGTGCCACGTCAGACACAGTGCCACGTAAGCAGTGCCATGTCAGACTCAGTGCCACGTAAGCAGTGCCACATCAGACACAGTGCCACATCAGCAACAGTGCCACGTCAGCAGTGCCCCGCCACCATGACGGGCTCACTTCTGGGCATGCCAGGCCAACTGGCAAATGAATCCATTGCCGAATACCGACAACGGTTCGAAACTCAGCTCGCACTAGACGCGGCTGAGGAACAACGCCAGCTGGCAGTCAAGGCTGCCCAACAACAGGCAGACGAAGCGGCACCAGCAGAGAAGCTCCGGCTACAAGCCGAAGCAGACGCAGAATCCCAGGCTCGCCGAAAGGAAGCCCAGGATATGCTGCAGCGGCATGAAACAGCCAGCGTGGACAGACTCAAATTCTAGCACTTTGAACCCAACGGCGACGACGCGACATCGGAAGAGCAACATAAGGAGTTTCTCTCCAAACTCGTGACACAGCTGTTGTACACTTGCAACTACCAACAGTCCGAGTTGGCGAAGCAGTACCAGAACCTGACGCAACAGCATCAGGAGTTGGCGAAGCTCCACCACACAGTGCAGAGCCACGAGGACGCAACTCGGGCACTCAATGCCCGAATGCTGGACCTGGAGAACGCTGTACCAGGACCAGCTGCTAAGGCTTCCAGCAGTGCATCCTCTAGCCGCCAACTGGAGGGACGCGTTGACCGCGTAGTAGCAATGCTCTACGACATCAGCACCTTCGTTGCGCCGACCACCATCAGCAGTCAGCTGCATAACTTGAAGACCGAGGTCCAGCAGCTACAGTCGACGAACGCGGATGATAATCCGAAGATGTACAAAATGCCAACTTTCCAACTGGACAAGTTCGACGACTACACGCAGCAGGATCCGGTCCTCTGGTGGGAAGCATTCACAACGCAACTCAGGATTTTGCCCAGAGCCAAGCATGCGTACATCGGCGCCCTGTTCCTGAACTCGAAGGGCGGATGCCAGACCTGGTTGAACCACCTGGCAACCTCTCACGGCGTCGACGTACCAGACTTGAAGGACAAAATCACATGGGAGGAACTGATACGGCTGTAGAAGAAGCGGTTCATCGTCGACGACGCGCCGACACTCGCCATCAACCGCCTGTTCACCATGTCACAGGGCAACACTGCAACACGGGATTGGCTCACGAAGTGGCAGAAGATTGCGGCGGTGCCCAATCTGGAATTGGCATTCACGCATCTACGTCGCGAGTTCTACAACAGGTCCTGTGCCGCATTGAGCCAGGCTCTTGGTGATCGCGAGCAGTACTCAACGTTCGCTGAGATCATTGACAAGGCGAGGGAGATCATCAAGACCAACAGGCCAGCTGCACACGAGAAATCAACATGGCAGCCGACCTATGTGGAGAAGGTACGAACTGGTCCGCAACAGCAGCACTTCGTCGCAGTCCAGTCGGACAGTGGAGATAACCCAGCAGCCACTCCAGCATCGAGTGACGGAGATCAGGTGGCTGCTGTCCAGCCGCGAAGCAACAACAAGTCCCACAACAATGGGAAGGCGAAATCCGCATCGCAAGCCGAAAATGGACAGCCAGTACAAGTTCCATGGTTCAAGTTCGGCTTGACCGAGGCGGAGTACAAGGTCCGAGGCCGCTACGGCAACTGCTATTGGTGCAACAGCACCAAGCACAAGACCTCCATATGCCAGGATCAGGGCAAGGAGGATGTGCGACCCCGCCTCAGCTCGGGAAACTGAGCTCCGCGGAAGGTGAGGCGACTCCACCTTCTACTCCGCCAGATTCGGCCGCCTTGCTAGCGGCCTCCTGCACATTTGGGGAGAACGCGAATGTCGCAAGTCCTCGGTACACTTACGAGGACTATGCTGTCCACTTGGTTCCACCGCTGGACCAACCGCTCCACGTGCAACAATCGATCGCATGCACGGTTTCATCAACATCGGCAACCGATTCGGCAGCTTCACCGCAATCTATCGCCGGGGATTCGACGTCATGGTCAAGACTGGAAGAGCTCGACCCGTTGACGTTCACGGATTTCTAGTGGATGCCCGTTCCCTCGACCGGACGATTGCCGAAACCGCATTGCAACGTGCTTATGGCACAATTGCGGGACTACTTGCACACTGCAGTACCAGCTCCGTTGATGGACGCCGGACCAGAGGTTGTCGACCTTCACGCTTACATCGCGAAGATCGACCACGAGTTCAAGACGCAACGGTACGACGACATCGACGCACCATTGCTATACGTACGCATTCAGATTGGAGAGGCGACCTGCAGTGCCTTGATCGATTGCGAAGCATCTCGCAACTACATCARCCAGGACTTCATGGTACGCGCCGGCCTTGGCCCACGTGTCCGGAGGAAGTCCCATCCTACGCAAGTCACTCTGGCAGACGGTCATACGCACAAGTCCATCGACCGGTGCATTGACGCCGTCCCAGTGTACTTTGCCCCTCACGCAAGTGAGGCGGTGTCCTTTGACATTTTGGACACCAAATTCGACATGATCTTGGGCATGTCATGGCTGCGAAGCGAGGATCACCCGGTGAACTTCTTCCACTGCACCGTTCACATCCGTGATCGGAACGGAGTACTAGTTCCATGCACGGTGCCTTTTCCTCATCCTTCGATCAGCTGCCACGTGGTATCCGCCGCAAGCATGCGAGCTTCCATCATCAGAGACGACATCGAGGAGATGGGGGTGTGTTTTCTCCACGCCCTCCCGCCCCATGACGCTTCATCGACGGACTCACCTTCGGATCCACGCATCATCGAGCTTCTCGACGCCTACAGCGACTTGTTCGAAGACCCGCACGGAGTAGTACAAAATCGACCCATCCGCCATGAGATCATCCTCGAGGACGGGGCCGTACCTCCGTGCGGTTGCGTGGAGCACGACTATGGCGCCCAGGTAAGTACCGCTGACGGGGGTATGGCCTCCGCCCCTCTTCTTCTTCTTTGACAGCGTGGAGCACGGCTATGGCGCTCAGGTAAGTACCGCTGACGCAGGTATGGCCTCCGCCCTTCTTCTTCTTCTGCTTCTTCTTCATGTGGTTGTTGTTGTTGTTGTGCAGGTCGCCAGTGTGGAGCACGGCTATGGCGCCCAGTTAAGTACCACTGACGGAGGGATGTGTTGTTGTTGTTGTTGTTGTTGTTGTTGTTGTGCAGGTCGCCAGTGTGGTGGAGCACGGCTATGGCGCCCAGTTAAGTACCGCTGACGCATGTATGGCCTCCGCCCCTCTTCTTATTCTTCTCCTTTTTCTTGTGGTTGTGGTTGTTGTTGTTGTTGTTGTTCAGGTCGCTAGTGTGGAGCACGGCTATGGCGCCCAGTTAAGTACCGTTGACGCAGGTATGTGTTATTGTTGTTGTTGTTGTTGTTGTTGTACAGGTCGCGAGTGTGGATGTACAGATCGCCAGTGTGGAGCACGGCTATGGCGCCCAATTAAGTACGGCTGATGCAGGTATGGCCTCCGCCCCTCTTCTTCTTCTTCCTCTTCTTCTTCTTCTTCTTCAGGTCGCCAGTGTGGAGCACGGCTATGGTGCCCAGTTAAGTCCTGCTGACGCAGGTATGTGTTGTTGTTGTTGTTGTTGTTGTACAGGTCGCCAGTGTGGAGCACGGCTATGGTGCCGAGTTAAGTATGACTGATGCAGGTATGGCCCCCGCCCCTCTTCTTCTTCTTCTTCTTCTTCTTCTTCCCTACTACGAAGTAATGGAATAACAAATCCTGTAAAGGTGGGAAATAATATAATAATACTTAACCAAGGCAATTGATTCATAATGAAAAATATATCTATTTAAAATAAAGAATATTGAAGAAAATAATATTCTTAGAAATCTATAATTCATTCAAATTTTTAAAAAAAATCTTCTTCTTCTTCTTCTTGTTGCGGCAGGTATCGCCAGTGTGGAGCACGACTATCATTGTTATTGTTGTCTTAGGATCGAAATTACTATGTCATAGAACATTGTAGTGATACCAGATGACCCCTGAAAAATGTTGATTGCGGCAGTCGCATCACTTCCTTTTGTGGAAGGTCTCCTGCTTTTTTTTATGCAGCGGTCTTCCGTCTACCATTTCCCCCCGAATAAGGAAGCACAATCATTGTACCTGTATTTAGACCTATTACCAGTCTATAGATGGACTGATTGTTAGTGTATAGATATAGATAGACTGCTTGCCAGTGTATAGATACACCGAATTGCCAGTCTATAGACGCACCGATTGCCAGTGCATAGATACACAGATGAACGGGGGTCCGTTAGGGGGAACATAGTAGTTTATCCTTTGAATGCCTTCAGCTGGCGGTTTGGGAATTTCTGCTTTTGCCGGTTGAATTGATCTCTGCCTTGCTCTGAAGGCGTTTGTTTCGGTGTATGCTATTATGGCACTCTGACAGGTGTACGGTCTTCCTAAGGATCGCATTTATGCGATATCTCCCTGAGGAAAGAGTCCTTCCCTTTTGCACTCAGACTCGTACTCATTCACACTTTTCATGCATGTAATCAGCAACGCAGCAAACTGGCGACATGCGCCCACTCAAAACTCAGAGATATGGCTTTCGGATACGAGTTCACTTCCAACTGGCTATGGCGACTCAGCGCCCAAACAACTCACTGTTCACACACACCGGATCACCCTGGATATCCCACACGCGTAACTCTGAACACTCGCACATACAC